GCGCGCATTCGTGCACACACTTCTCAAGAGTTTCCACGGGTTCCCATCATCAACGTACCAGGAATGGTGTGTTGGAAGGAATCAGGATTGCGCGGGTGCAACAGTTAGGTTGATTCGCGGTGTTGAAATTCCAGGAATGGCGTTCTGGCACGATTCAGGCTCGTCAAGACGCAACAGGCAGGTTGATCCGTGGCGTTGGAATCCCGAGAACAATGTTTTGGTATGCTTTCGGGTCTTCAAACGGTTGTCTTTCAACGAGGCAGATCCCTCAATGGAAACGAACCGTTGTAGGGGCCTATGAAGAGCGAGCTTGGAGGGAGGGTGTATCTCAACATCGTTGATGGCTATTGGGTTTGCACTGGTCCTCCCTTTCCTCCTCCTCCTCCTCCTCCTCTTCCTCCTCCTCCTCCTCCTCATTCTCCTCTTTCTCCTCTTCCTCCCCCTCCTCCTCAAGCTGCCGCTTTAGGTCAACCTCCCGGGTCGACCCCCGCGGCCGCTTGGCAGGCGACCTCCCCAGGTTGACTGCAACGCTCGCGCCGCCGCGGCCATGTCTGGCGCGGCTGTCGGCGCTGCCTCGTCTGGTGTTGCTCGCCGCCGTCGCGAGCAGAAACAGCGCTCCACCGCCCGCAACGTGCAGTGGCTGCTGTCGCTGCGCCAGGCCGGTGCCGCGCATCACACCTCCGCTCCAGGTAGTGTTGGGGCCTCGGAGGTCTCCGAGTTGCGGCGCGAGCTCAGCGTGATGAAACAGGAGATTGCAGAGCTCCGCATGCTGCTCGCGTCAGCTGGGCACTTGAACTTCTCGGCAGCTGTTCACGGTCTCGGTGAAGATCCTGAGCCCCATGTTGTTTCTGGCGTTCCTGGCTATTCTCGTGCAGCTCACGAAAGCCGAGGCCCAAGTGATGGGCCCTACTCCGAGGTCGGTAAGGACAAGGGCAAGGTCATCGGGAACAGCAAGGGCAAGGCCAAGGAGGCCTTTGGTGCGCCAACCGGCAACCCTCCTGCTTCTCCTCTTGCTGCTGATGCTGCACCCACTCCTCGTGCTTCTGGAGCTGTTCACGGCAATGGAGTTGCTCCCTTTGATATGCGCCGCTTCCTGGAGGAGCTCTTCCTGGCGATGCTGCCGCCCCCTCTGCCAGTCGGGACGCCTGGGCAGATGGCCATGACTCGCGGGCCCAGGTGCGAGCCCCTGCTGCTCGCCATGTGTCTCGTGAAGAACGTCTTGCTCGATTCAGTACGGGAGCGCCTCCTGCCAAGAGCAAGGACAATGAGAAGGATGTGAGGGCCAAGCGTTTTGCTCCCGTTTAGCCTTCCTCTCCCTTCCTGCCTCATTATGTATCCCTCCCTCCCCCTGCCTCTTCCCCGGAGCTTGTCTGCTCGATTATGGGGTGGTGGAGGCTTGAGGAGAATGAGAGGAGGAGGAGGAGGAGGAGGAGGAGGAGGAGGAGGAGGAGGAGGAGGAGGAGGATATTGTTTCTTTTTAAACGACTGTGCTATATCGTGCGCTGTTCATTGATTACTCGTGGCCAGCGGTGGCAACCAATGGAACTGGATTGTAGCCTACCGCTTGCTTGCCCTTGCTTTGCACTGCGTGGGACTCATCGCGGTTGTTCTCTCTAGGTCGGGTCCTCTGGCATGTTGTTTGGAGGGCCGCCCTGTGCCGCTTAGCGGTGCAGGGTCGTCTCTCCATCCTTCGTTGCTGGATGGCCCAACCTTGCTCCCGACGTGTCCAATCCAATCCTCCCCCTCCTCCTCCTCCTCCTCCCCCTCCTCTTCCTCCTCCTCCTCCTCTTCCTCCTCTTCCTCCTCCTCCCCCTCCTCCTCCTTCTCCTCCTCCTCCCCCCCGACGAGCTGGCCCTGGAGAACACTCGGCTCCTCCTCCCCCTCCTCCTCCTCCTCCTCCCCCTCCTCTTCCTCCTCCTCCTCCTCTTCCTCCTCTTCCTCCTCCTCCCCCTCCTCCTCCTTCTCCTCCTCCTCCCCCCCGACGAGCTGGCCCTGGAGAACACTCGGCTGTTCATGGGGGAGACCAAACGCGACTCTGAGAAGCTCGTCGTGAAGGACTCCAGGGAGAAGCGGCTGCCGCTGACCGTCAGAGCTGCCAAGCAAACGGTCCTGAGCACCGCGTGCGCCGTGAAGATGCTGGAGTCCCAGCTGGCGGAGGCCCGATCCGCGCATGTGGCCGCCTGCGGGGAGGTCCTCGGCGCGGGCTTCGAGTCGTCGCAGCTGTTCGACAACGGCGAGGCTGGCCCGTGAAGTTGGCCAAGTTTTGATGCTCTGGGAGCTGCCCGAGAAAACGGCCAAGTCTTGAGGGCTGCGGAGGCTCGTGTTCCTCCTGCGGCTCGCTTGGCTTCGGGGCGCGGGAGCTCGTGTTCCTCCTGCGCCCCCCCCCCGCTGCGGAGTCTCGTGTTCCTCCTGCAGCGGCAGCTTCGCGCCGCGGAGGCTCGTGTTCCTCCTGCGGCGCCGACGGTCCTGTGGTTGCAGAGGCTCGTGTTCCTCCTGCGGCCCCGGGGGGTTCTCCCGCGCGACTCCCCTGTCGCTTTGCGGTTAGCCCATTTAGTCCTCCTCCTCCCCCTTCTCCCCCTCCTCCTCCTTCTCCTCCTCCCTCCTCCTCCTCCTTCACCTCCTCCTCCTCCTCTTCCTCCTCCTCCTCCTCCTCCATTCCTTTTCCTTACAACTAACTTCTCTCTGTCGCACCCCGAGGCCAGTTTTTAGTGCGGGCCGGGCGTTTCGCCTGAGACTTCCTCCCATTTACGACTCTGAAGCTTAAACATTCGTAACAGTTTCACGCATGGAGGGCGGGCCGTTTTCAAAATGTGGCTCTCGCCTTAGCGCGGCGCACATTCGTTTTAAAGATTCGCCAGAGTTTCACGGATTGGGGATAACCCGTTTTCAATATGTGGCTCTCGCCATAGCGCCGCGCACATTCGTTTACAAACTTCTCAAGAGCTCAACGGATTCCCATCATCAACGTACCAATAATGGTGTTTCGGAAGGATTCAAGATTTTGCGGGTGCCACAGTTACGTTGATTCGCGGTGTTGAAATCCCAAGAATGGCGTTCTGGCACGAGGGAGGGTGTATTTCCTCCTCCTCCTCCTTTTCCTCCTCCTCCTCCTCTCGCTGATGCTCCTCCTCATCCTCCTCCTCCTCCTCCTCCTCCTCCTCTCGCTGATCCTCCTCCTCCTCCTCCTCCTCTTCTTCTTCCTACTCCATACCGCGCGGACGAAGACGAGGTCGAGATCGCGACCCTTCCCAGTTCAGACCACTCGCTGCACTGCCGCGGGGCGTGAACTCTATCTTCCTCCTACCTCGCCGACGAAGACAAAGTCGAGTTCACGACCCGTCCTCATTAGTTCAGAGCAGTCGTCGGAATTACGCTGCTCCTAGGATCGGTCTCCCTCCTGCTGCGCTGTTGCACAAGCACGGTAGCGGGGTTTGCCGCAGGCAGCTGGATATCGACCATCCGCGACGTCACTCCAGGAGCACCTCGGGCCATGCGCGACGCGCAACATGTTTCGGTGTTCCTTCCCGACCAGCGCAGGATGAGTGAGCCCCACGCAGCGGAGCAGCTACTGCGCGGGGGCCACTCCTCCCACGCACCCGGACACTTGAAGGCATCCCATGCGCGCGACTGCGTCCAAGAAGCAGCCAGCAAGCGCCCAGTCACTGATTTCCCCAACGTTTCGGGAGAATGTGTGAGTTCTCATCTTTAGGAGGTTTTCGACGCTTCCAGACGGCCCAGGAGGCCCCCAAGAGGGCCCCCACGACGAGCCAAGCGAGCCCCAAGACGGACCAAGAGATCCCCAAGACGGCACGAGGGGGACACAAAAGCGGCCTGGGAGAGGCCTAAAGGGGAGCTCGAACCGTCATTTCGAAATCTCCGCCCCACGACCACCTCCGAGACCGCCAGCAAGCCCCGCGAAAGCCCTACAGACGCTCCGGGAGGTCTCCAGGAGGCCAAAATCGGGCCCCAGGAGGTCCCCAGAAGGCCTCCAAGCGGCTCCAAGCACACCCCAAAACCGCCTCCAAGAGGCTCCCAAGACGCTCCCTCGGACGCACAAGGACATACTAGCACTACACCCCACAACCGCCTCCAAGAGGCTCCCAAGACGCTCCCTCCCTCCCAATTCCATGGGACGCGCAAGGACATACTAGCACTATGTGTCCTCCTTGGAGGCGTGCGTTCGACCCGAACATCTAATATGACCGTCTTGTAGCATATAATTTCCCGAGCTGCACGGCCAGAAAGCGCCCGCCACGGAGCATGTACTACACAAGATTTCTCGGCGCGCGCGTCGCCCCCGTAGGGGCGACGCACACTTTTTTGATTCGCGGGTTGAGAGCGCACCTCTTCCCGTCGAAGCTAAGCGGGCCGCGCGAAGCTTGAATTAACAAGGAGGGGGGGACAGAAGGAGAGGCCGCCCGTCAGTAGGGGCGACGCACACATAGTGAGCAGTTTCGTAGTCGGCGTTCCGACATTGGGCGGAAGGGGGAGGGGGACGGGGGGTGTCTGGCTCTGGGCCTCTGCTGAATGCGACTGTTTGAAACCGTGCGTCCAATGGGGGAGACTCCACCTGCTCGAAACAGGCGCCAAAAACACCCAAGAACTACTCCAGGGAGGGGGGGGAGGGGAGCGGGGGGGGTGCGAGGGCCAGCGCCGATCGTCAAAATGCCGGCGCGCGCGTCGCCCCCTTAGGGGCGACGCACATATAGTATTAGTATGATTGGGTGGCGCCGATTCCGTACTCCCAGCTCCCTTTCGGTAGCAACTCATGGGAGCCTCCCATACCATCATGTCGGCGCTTGCGAACCGACGCGAAATCGACGCTAGTCGACGCTAAACCGACGCTAATCGACGCTGGCCGACGCTAAGTCGGCGCTATCTTCATCGACTCCCATACGCTAATCGACGCTAATCACGCCAAAGATGGCACTGAGAGGGTACACCCGGCTCTCGTGACTTGCTGCCGAATGGCTCCCTGGCCGTCCGCGCGCCGCTCCTTTCTTGCCCGCGGGGCGGAGCGCTCACCGGGTCCGCCTGCCGTCCACGACGCGGGCGCCCGGGGGCGGGTCCCAGGCCTGGGGGGCCAGCTCAGGAAAGAGGGGGCGGCGCTGAGGAGGAGGGAGGGAGGGGAAGGAGGGAGGGAGGGGAAGGAGGGAGGGAGGTAGGGAGGGAGGGAGGGGGCTCCCTCTGAGAAGGAGAGGAAAAGCACCGGGGTCGCATGTGAGGGGATGGATCGGAGAGCAATTTGGCTTCTGTGGCGGGATGCGCCACGTAGTTCTTGGCGCTGCGTCCTCCCTCGTCCAAGGCCGCACTCGCGCACTCGCCACCCAGGCGGAGGGTACCAGGAAGGCAATGGGGGGAGGAGGGAGGGGGTGGAGGGAAAGGGAAGGGCGAGGGAGGGAGTGGGAGAGGAAGAGGAGGGGAGTAGAGCAGGCAGTCGTGTTACTATATTGCGCGTGCCGACCGCAAAATTACACTTTGCACTACAACTTGACGCCCACGTAGGCTCCTTTGTTCCCAAACCATCCTGTGGTGCCCCTCACACGCTTCGTGGCCCGAAACGGAGCGCAACCGAAGGTCCCAAGGCGACGTTTGCGTTCCCCCCCCCCCACCCACCCACCCATGTCGACACATTCCTCACACACTTCATGGCTCCATAGGGAGCTCCACCAAAGGCCCCAAAGGCGGCGTTCGAATGCGTCCCCCCCAACGATGCTCACACGCTTCGTGGCCCCATAGGGGTAGCTCCACCGAAGGCCCCAGTGGCGACGTTCGCACGCGTCCCCACCGCCCACTGTGGCACACCCCCCACGCGCTTCGTGGCCCCGTAGGGAGCTCCACCAAAGGCCCCAGTGGCGACGTACGCATGCGTCCCCGCCGAGCATTTCGGCACACCCTTCAAACGCTTCGTGACCCCTCAGGGATCCACCTCAGGCCCCAGAGGAAAAATTCGCATGCGTGCCCGATCACCGATATCGGCACACCCGTCACACGTTTCGTGTCCCCATATGGAGTTCCACTAGAAGCCACAGAGGCGACGTTCGCATGCGTTCCCACCTACTGCGGCACACCCTGACACGTCGCGTGGTTTCAGAAGGAGCTCCACCAAGGTCCAGTTGCGACGTTCGCACGCGTCCCCCCCGCTCATTGCGGCACACCCCTCACACGTTCCGTGGCCCCACAGGGAGCTCAACCCAAGGCCCCAACGGCCGCGCCCGCATGGCACCGCCGCGCCTGTTTCGGCACATCCCTGACACGTTTCGTGGCCCCAGAGAGAGCTCCACTGAAGGCTACATTGGCGACGTTCGCATGCGGGTCCCGGACCAATTTCGGCACACCCCTGCCACGTCTCGTGGCCCCATCGGGACCTCATGTTGAATGCGCCCCCCCACCATCATGACAGCACGCCCCTCGCGTGCTTCGTGGCGCCATAGGGAGTTCCACCGAAAACAATCATATCAACCGCAGAGCACACAAGTGCATATGGTTGGGTCCTTTGCCGGGAATTATTTTTCTTATGAGATGCCTGAATCCTCAGCCACGCGGCTTCAATCGTTGCATGTTGTACCGGCTGTGCTTCTCGCATCGAAGCGTTACAGCCAGCGGTAAACGACGGTCTAATGTTCAAGGCAAAAGGATGGTTTGGATTTCCTGTGCGACACAAGAAATGCGAAGGTTGCCGACACGGCCAGGGGATAGCATGCGGCGCGGTAGATGCAGCGGCAAAGCGATGAGGAACAGCATTGCCACGGACAACAACAAATCTGGCAGCATCAGCGGCAGATAGGGGAGACGAGGACGGGTGACAGGATGAGGCGATGCATTTATTGGGAAGACTAGCAAGCTTCAAGAGAAGCTCCCAGGACGGCCCGGGATCCTCCCAAGAGAGGAGTGGCGAGTGGCAGCACCCCCCCCGCAATGAAAGAACGAACTACGTATTGAACGAGCGCAATTGGGCAAACGAACGTCGTGGGCATACGCCACGAATACCAAGCCGGCGACGGCTACGCGACGAGACTTGCATCCATTCAGTGCAGCAGATAACACCACACTGGCCGTCGTGCTGGCATGGGGCTCCACATGCGAGCGCTGGCATAAAAAATGGGAAGAGGGCGCCGAGCACAGGAGGAGGAGGATGGAAATGAGGAGGAGGAGGAGGAGAAGGAACAGTGATGGGAGGGAACAGGAAAGAACTGAAGGCGGATAATACAAGCGTGCGGCAACGAGGCGCGAGCCACCCAACCCCATTATTGGGCGCACGCGCGCTGACCTGAGTCAAGGAGCGGGGACGGAGAAGAGGGAGGAGGAGGGAAAGGAAGGGGAGGAGAAAGGGGAACGCAGGCAGGACGCGCTGAACGTCGTCCTCCCCCAGCTCGGCGAACAGGTCCTGCGCGGCGGCGAGGGCAGCCCCTGCTAGCGGCTCCGCTTCGGGGGGAATGAACGCACCCCGTTGCTGCTGGCACAGGCGCTCAGCGTCGGTGATGCCAGGACACGGGCGACCTGCCTGTGCGGCGAAGGAACCACAAAGTCCAAGGCAGCTGGCCCCCCTGGAACCAGCAGGGAATGCAGACAGCATCAGGTTGGCGCCCGTTCGCCTGGACGTCGTCTAAGCGGGGTGGCACGAGGCTGGGATGCACGAGCGTCCGGTTGAAGCCCGCGTTGGCAACGAAAAGCCGACTATGTTCCTCGCCCCGCTGTGCCAGTGGACCGGGTCTCTGGTCCTGCACACAGGCCTGCGTGGTAGCTGTGGCGGTCGCAGAGGTCCTCGCAGCACGGGCGAAAATGCTTCGTCTCGCACACAGGCATAGGAAGCTTGCGCGCTGCATCGCACGCGAGCTCTCTACAGACTCGAAGAGGAGCCACAGCTGCACGCTGGATTGCGCTTCGAGGCGCCGGAGGCGTCAGGCAGCATCTTTGACTGGATGTCAGTGCGGCCTGCGGCATCCAAACCAGCCGGAGAGACCTGGCTCCCGCGCTCGTCAGGCGCGGCCGAGGGGTGTTTTGCCGGGTCCAGGCTGCGCGCTGGTGGCAGCAAAGGGTAGTAAGCCCCGAGTGCCCGCCCCTCCAGCGCGGCCGCGCCCTCATGCGCCCAAGTGCACGATGCGCCCAACTCGCCGCAGAAATGCCGCGTGGCCGCCAGACTGACCGAGGACGCGCCGGCTGCGAAAACTGTCAGCTGCCGCAGGCCCAGCCCTGCGTGGGCGAGTCCTCGGGCACCTTGGTCCCGCTGCGTGTCTGTCAGGTCCGCTGCGAGCAAGTCCGACAGCGCGCGCCGGTCGCCGTGGTCGAAGCAGCGCAGCGCCCCCAGGAATAGGGCAGACGGCGCTGCTCGGTCGCTGTAACCGAGCTTGGCGTAGCTCGCGCAGCAGCCGAAGAGCGCGAGGCCCAACTGGGGGCGCAGGTTGGCCGGATCCTCGGGGGCGGGTTTGGTCTTGTCGGCGCGGCGTCGGGCGAAGGCCTTGCCATATGTCTTCGCCTGGAAGGGGGGTGTCCCAAGAGCTCCGCGGGGGCGAACCGCCTCGGAGGACGACGCGATCGCGCGATCGGCCCCCATCTCCGCGTCCACCAGGAGGAGCGCGCTGGGAAAAGACCCGCTAAGCTCCAGGGCGCACGCTCGCAGGGGACCACAAGCTCGCGCTTGAGAAAATGAAGCAGGAGGCGCAGGTCACGTCAGCGGCGCTGCAGCGTCGCCAGCGCGAGCGCGCGCCATTGCCTCCTCAGAGCCTGCGACGAAGCCGTCGTCCAGGTAGAAGGCGCACAGGTCTAGGTCTGCAGTGTTCGCGAGACCCTCCAGCACCGAGTGCACGGCGAGGGCGAAGAACAGCGGCCCTGGCGGGCCCCCTGGCTGCAAGCCCGCGTGCGAGGATAAGACGTGGAGGGTGCGCCGCTGGATCTCCCCAGGGGGGGGGGGTAGGACCTCCCCCCCGTTCCCCCCCTTCCCCGATCCGTCGTGGGGGACCCCCCCCCCTCCCCCCCGTCCCCGATCCGTCGTCGAGGAACCTCCCCCCCCCCTCCCCCCTTTCCCCGACCCGTCGTCGGGGACCCCCCCCCCCCTCACCCCCTTTAAAAAGGGGGGGGAGGGGTCCGACCCCCCCCCTCCCCCCCTTTCGCCACGCCGCCCCCTGACGCCGGAACCCGACCCCCGTCACCCCTACCCCTAGTCCTCACCCTAACCCAAACCCCTAATCCTAACCCGAACCACTAACCCCAGCCCCAAAGAGCTCTCACTACTCATTACTCACTACCCACTACTGACTACTAGCTATTCGCTACTCACTTCTCACTACCCCATACTCACTACTCACGACTCACTACTCACCATCCACTACTCACTACCCACCACCCACTACTCGCTACGCACTATTCCCTACTCACTACTCCCTCCTCCCTACTCACTCCTCACTACCCACTACTCAATACTCACTAAGCACGACTCTAGTCCCTATTCACTACTCACTCATCACTACTCATTACCCACTACCCACTATCCACCACTCACTACTCACTACTAACTAGTCATTGCCCACAAATCACTACTCACTACCCAGCACTCGCTACTCGCTATTCCCTACTCCCTGCACAATACTGATTACACAGAACTCAGTACTCGCTACTCGCTACTCCCATACTCGCTACTCAATACTCACTACCCACTCCCCGCTAGTCACTATTCACTATTCACTACTTACTACTCCCTACTCACTAGTCACTACATAGTATCTAGTCACTATTCACTAGTCACAACTCACTAAACACTAGTCACTAGTCACTACTCACTACCCACTACTCACCAATCGCTACTCACTACCCACTATTCGCTACCCACTTCTTACTACTCACTGCTCACTACTCTTTACTCCCTACTCCCTACTCCCTACTCACTACTCGCTTCTCCTACTCGTTACTCACTAAACACTACCACTATTCACTACTGACCACTCTCTACTTACTCACTACTCACTACTCACTACGCCCTACTCGCTCCTCACTACTCACTACTCGCTACTCCCTACTCGCTACTCACTACTCACTACCCACTGCCACTACCCACTACTTTCTATTCACCACTACTCAC